TCAGTCGAGTGAGATACTCGTGACCAATCTCGGCCCTTCCAGCTTCTCATAACCCTGATCAGAAGTCAGTTTGAAAATAAATTAATAATCCTCCATTTGAGGCTGATTCTGAAGACAAACTGAGCTACTTTTAATCAAACTGCCACAGAATCATTTACAAAGCCCAGCCAAGTTCACGTTTTTCAGGATGAAAATACAGACAAATCCAGTTTTTGATCTGATGATTAAATGAAAATGTCAAAGAATCATCAAAGTTTTAACAGTTTACCCTTAAAGCAAAATGTAAAGTTCAAAGATTGCAAGAATCATAGACAGAATTTGTCTGGATTTTTGTACTGACTACATATCTAAAGAAAGTATTTTGGAAATTCATTCAACATTTGTCTTAATAATTCACTCAGGAGGGAAGTGGTAAACAGATTGCTCCACTGCCTGCCTAGCATAGCTGAACATGAGACGGTTGATGAGAAGTTGCTTTCGGTGTTGAATTAGTCACAGGTAGTTACCATGATTTGTGGTAGCCACTTCCCTTTTACTAAACAGTTGAGTACTCTAATGGCATTTTATTGTGGCAGGGCTGCAAATACAAGAGCTCTTGGCAAAATGTCAATGGCAAAATATGGAATGATTTTGCTTCCACAGTTGACAGTCAGAATAAGCCAAAGGACAACACATAGCCCTCTGGAAGATGCAGACCAAGAGGGCAAACAGGTCGAGCTTGGCAAGCCGGAAGGCAGGCATTATATGCAAGTCAGAATTTTGGTCTCTCCTTACAAATACAGTTGTTAAAAAACAGATGAAGAAGTAGTTTAGGTTTTGATTTAACCTGGTCGAGTCTTAATCATAGAGGTGGCAGATCAGAAAACATACCAGCTCCACTTTTAAATCTAGCTTTAGACATGTAGACGTCCAAGACAATATCTTAAACTATAGGCATGGGATTTAAAAGTGCCTGGCTTTTCCATGCTGAAAGGGTCAAACAAAATAAAATGCATTGCTGTAATATAGGAAATAAAGGATCCAGGGACAATTCTTTTTTAAATTGTCTCTTCCAAGTCCTTCAAACATAAGGTGGGCTACTAATTAATATGTTCTATTTTAATTCAACACAAATAACTAAAAAAATAACTTTTATTTTCCTGTAATGTTTTATTAATTTGGTGGTTGCATGAGGTTGATGAAGATGTGGTTAATTAATGTTTAACATGCAGCTTTAACATGTTTAATGTAGCAGCAAAATAACAACCATCTCAAACTGAAGCCTTGGCAAACCGTGCTTGTACATCCCACAGTGATACAGTGCAGCAAAACCCCACATAAAAAAATATATATATATATGTTTGGCCTAATAATCAGCTGTAACTAACCTTAAAGAAGTTCATGGTGGCGCCATCCTCTACAACCCCATACTCTATCTTCGTCTGCTTGGCCAGGTCATCGGCAGAGTCGATGGGCGACTCCATCCTCTCCACAGTGAGGAAGGCAGCCAGGTTTGCCGTGTAGGAGGAGATGATGATGAGCGTGAAAAACCACCAAATTCCTCCTACAATTCTTGTGGAGAGGGCTTTCGGCATGAGCTCAGATCCTGAACAAGAGGAGCAGAGGGCGAGGGTGAGGTCTGGTACAGCAGTAGATTGGAGAGGGGGCAGCACCTAGGCCAGGCCAGGCCAAGCCGAGCTAGGCCAGGCCATCTGCTGCCTGGATCATACTCTTAGAAACAGACACACAGATTGGACAGAGTGGGCAGGCTTGTGGCTGGACCTTGTGATTGGTAATTAATTTTACATCCGTGATATTACCTCTTGTGTACCTTGGACTGCCTGCCTGACTGTCTGTCTTTATAATGTGACAAAACTCTGCACGTGCATGGCACAGGAAAATTAATTTGCACATTTTCACAACACAGGTGCATCGTGAAGCTTGGTGACACAGTGACTATCTGATGGCTAAACCCAATGCTAGCTTGTTCAACAAAAATATTTATTTTTTGTGTCTTGGTTGCAAACCAAACAAATATTTTAAAGTTTTTTAAAGAGACTATTTCATAGTTGAGTTACAATTATTGATTTTTGTGTTGATTTTCTTGTGGTGCACTTTATTGTCCCTTGTCATAGGTTGTCCTTTACCACTTTTTATGGAATGTCATGCTTCAAGGGGGCATTTTGCAAGATGAGCTGTGTGGATCAGTTGAGTGAGCAACACTGAACGAGTGGAACAACTTAAACAGTTGGGCAGGTGTTATGGCATTTTGGTAGATGGAACAACCACAAGGTTTCCTGGCAATTAATTCCCGATCAAACTACTTGTGAAGTGACATTGTTCTCAATCAATCACATCAATTTGAACTCCTCAGGTCACTAAAAGACCAGACCTGTCAACCTGGCTAATTGCTCAACAGTTCTTCAAATCAGGTTTTATGCAGTATGTATGTCGAGCATGTGGGAGCACATGTGCATGTGTGGAATGAGAGTGACATATGTTGTTCAGGTGAAGGAAGGTGGGCCCAGATTATAGCAGGACTATTCTCCTCAAGCGGCTTAGGCAATTAAAAGCTGGGATTTTGTACATCGACTCAGAGGGGCTGACAAAGAGTCAGAGAGATAGGAGGTTAAGAACTCTGCGCTCCACTCCCTTTGTGAGAGACTCTATCAGCACTCTCACTTTTAATCAAACTTTCTTCCCTTCTCACAGTTCCCTGAGTGAGCTGTCTAGTAGAAGGAGCATGCAGGGAAAGACATAACAAGATGGAGGAGGGGATACATTAGGTTTAACAATGATTATTTCATAGGTAAATTTAGCTAAATTATTGACTGAATCTGTTATGCCTATGCTGACTTTCAAAGGCTATGCAAATTGAAATGAACACTTTTAATCAGAATTCCTTTAAAATGCAGTTTTAAGCTAGAACATGCTACATATGTTGATAAAATGCTGTTGATAGACAGAATCAATACAATCATCATCCATTGCAGTTTCTGATAAACTGTCACTATGCCATTATTACATGTGTGAATGCTAAAAAGCTCCATTGATAGTTTGAGATAAATAATACTAAGACTAAAAACACAGTATTGCATTTTGCATTCATCCACAACATAAGACTTGACAAGTTATCAAACTGTGTGGGATATGTGGCACGGTCCTAAACTAGTCGGAATCCTTATTGAATTGCAGGGGCTATTTTGTATATATATATATATATATAAGTGTGTGTGCGTGTATAATTTGATGATGTATGATAACCTGTACAGATCTCTCAGATCATCTTTGACAACTCTGCTTACTGCTCCCAAAGTCATATTCAATCAGTGAAAAACTGCATTTTATGCACCGAATACTATATCTGGAACAAACACATGGGATCAAAATGCATAAAAAGTCTCTGTAGCTTCACATTAAAACTGTGTGTCTGTGTGTGTGTGTGCACATAATGACTGAAATATGCATACTCAATGTTTTCATCAGATTGTGCAAGAGCCCTGTTTCCAGCTAGACAGACATGGGTGTAGAAATGCCCTTAAACACCATTTGCATATTAGTACTTGTGCCTGCTCCACTGCTCATTAGACCTGTCAGTGAGTGGAGCGGCAAAGCAGAAGTGCAGTTTTATGGATTGTGTTGCATCGAAGGTCTCCAACAGCACCAAAACAGCTGTCATAACTGTCATCACAACTGCTCGGCACTGCTGTGGCTTTTTATAGCACCAAACCATTAATTCATCCCACGTACCTGTAAACCATAGTCCCTGTGATATTTCAGTCATTATGTTTAATGTCTAAAATATTATTTATTATAATTGATAGTTCTTAATCTGAAACAGATTAGCAGGAAAGCTAATTCCTAATTCACATCTGAGAAAAACATTGAATTATCGCTGATAGGTAAACAATGGCTCAAATGTAGATAAAATAGATAAAGTTCATTACACACAGTTTTTTAATCAAGCTCATAAAAGACCTATTTCTTGAATTTGTGCAGATGGCTAAAAAGATATCCAAGATAATACCACTCTCAGAAAAAAATGTCAAAACACTTTAAAGACAAGGTTTTGAAAAGATTCCCCTCAGAGCTGGTTACAGAAAAACATGTTTCTGATGTATGTGGATATACCTAAACATAGGTAGCAGTGTATGTGCATAAAACACCTTACGTGTGGATGATTTTTATCAGTCGAGGATCAAAGTGCTTCAGTTTGCAATTGCCTTTTGATTAAACCATATTTAATGCTATTTAATAATGTATTAGTCAGATTATTTTCATCATCATATTGATAGCCTACATGCATTACTTACTTATTATCAATGTATTGAATGAATATGTTTACTGTTAGTCTGGGACCTTTATCCTTAATGTAGCAATTGTTCTATATAGAGCTATTTTTATGGTGAGTTATGTATTATGAGTCTGAGGTGACCCCTTTAAACTTAAGTAATTGGATAAATATAAGCAGAGGAGAATATGGTTTTGAAAGTAAACAAAAAGCAGTAAAATACATTAACTCAAGGTTAAGTAAAGGTACATAAGTGATTGTGTTATTGAAACATCTAGTGATGGTAATCTCACAGAGGTAAAAAGCTGAGGCTGGCCCCGCTACTATCATGAAAACAGTGGCTTTTGTATCAGTGGTACCAGCTCCTGAATTTTTATTTTTTATTTAACCCCTTATTAGCCTACCGCTATAGAAGCAAAGTCACCAAGGTTAACCACCAGCCACCTACTTTGTCCATTCATCCAAACAAAAACAAAACAGAAAAATCCAAGAAACAGACATGAACATAATCACATATTCATCAGTGCTACTAGCCAAGGATTCTGCTTGTTCTGTGTCGGTCCCATGACAAGCTTTCAAATGCAGGTTCGTACAAATGTGGAACATGTTACCAGTTTCTCTGGGCTCCTTATCCTGTTCCACCTCCGACACCAGAACAAAGAAGAGGAGAGACCCACTCAGAGAAGCGAGTCGAACCCAAACAGAGCCTGGTTGGGGCTGACTGTCATGTACCCAAGGTAACGTCATGACCAAACAGCACATCCCACAGTTTTCTGGGGGGCGGTGCTAGCCACCGGGCAGGGGAGCCTCTCTACAGTGTAGACCAGCACGGTGCCATGCAGACACTGTGTGTTCCTCCAGTCTAATCCCTCAGCCTTTTGGCCCTCAGCCACATCTTCTCAACTGGTCAACCCTCCAGATCTGTCCTGTTGGCTTTTATTTAAAAAGAATACTCCACTACACCATCCGGTAGCTAAAAACATTCACATACATTTTTGTTAGTTATAAGATGTTTTATGCTCAATGTTAATGGTATTGTTTTTTTTGGATGGTGAGGTTACAGTCAAGCCAGGCATCATATTTATCTTAAATCATTTAAATACTTGCATCTCATGAATCAAATAAATGAAAATATGTGAAAACAAGTTTGTGGCTATCTGTGGATTTTAGTAAACATGCATTAGAAGTAAGTGATATCATGCAGCCAGCCAAGAAAAGATTAGTTATAAGCTATAAAATCCATGGAAAGATTAAGATGTCTGTGGACAAGAGGATCACTTCACCAAGGAATTGTTTTGTCCTCACTTACCTCTGGTGGTATCTAGTCATAAAGACAACATAAATCATTTTAATATTGTAGTATTATTCTTCATCTGCCTTAGATACATCTGAGGATTTAGGCAAACATGGACCACCTCAATGAGGCAAATGGACAACAATTTATGGCAGAGAGGCTTTCTAACACATGGTTAAGGCTATTAAATGTTTAACTATCCTAAACCAACAACAAAGTACTTTTGTTTCCTAACCCTAAACAAACTATGACTGGAAAATGTCTACTAAAATACCCAATAGAAGACAACAGGTCAACTATGTTAGGTAAAAACATTTTTCATTTTCATATTTGCACTGTCCTGTATGCCATTTTCTACTGAAATCACTTCTGGTGTAAGGGTGAAGTGACCCTTTGAAGCAGCTTTGACTGTAGCAGTTAGCTCTGAGTGCAGGGAGACATGCTTTCCAAACCCTAACATCTCCACAACTTATAAATATGTTGTAGCCTACTGTCAATAGCTCAGAAAAAAACATATGCAACATATCGCCATTGTGACAAGCATTGTGAAGAATATAAGGTTTCCAAACTGAACCCTTTTTCAAATATTTTTCAGACTAAAGATGCCAACTAGTTGAGAAGATTTGGCATTAGTTTGGCAGAAGGAAACAAAACCAAACAGGCAGGATAAGCTTCTGAGGTCACATTCTCATTCAATTTCACCCATCTGATTCATCTCAGGGTGTTTTGGTGGGTACACTTACCTGTTCAAATGGCTGTGAATGGGTGGGGAAAGGGCGAGGGGAGGGTAGGAAGGAGTTAGGGAAACATGCACCATCCTCATTCACTGATCACATCACTCAAATCCCACTCAGTCCATCCTGCTGGATACTACCAGTGAAGCATCTAGCTACATGCACAGAGGCCCCCATGCATGGTCATGGGCCTGGTCAAAGGGCAAGGTTGACCCCCAGCAAAAAGTGGGACTTGTGCTAGAAAAAGGGGGCAGGCAGAGGCGTCTACCTTGCTGCATGAGAGCTCCAACTCCGAACCAGAAACTATTTAGCAGGGTGAAATTGTTTTCCACTACATCCGAGTCAGGGTTGCAAGGGTGGGGGTTATACCACTCGTAGGGACTAAACCTGCGACAGTTAACAGAGAACACACAAATATGTATAATTGTACTGTAGTTGCATGGACACACAACAATTAAAGAGACCAAGGGTGGTCGTCCTACCTGGGGAGACAGGGGAGAGAAAACACAGTTAAGTTAGTCATGTCCAAAGATGACACACTGCAAATCTAGCCTGAGAACAATAATACAGTAATAACCAATGATCCTTGCTTTCCCTTTGTGTACATACACAATGCTATGCTGTTGAATGTAAAAATAAGTAATTTAATTAATTACTTTCAAATGCTGATCATTATTTTATTTTACTGAGAATCCTGTATGTCAAAATAAAACCTCAAGAATGATACTGATTTAAATATCTCTTGTGTATTGTTCAATTTGAATAACATGCAATAGGTGGGGAGTTGGCTCAAATGAATGCCACTCATATTCCAAAAGTGGCTCCTCATGTGGGTGTGCTCATATCAAAGGCAGTTCCCTCAGTAATTTAATCGATGGTGTCTGAAAATAACTCCATTGTCAGACGAGAAAGGAAACTAATAATCCCTATAATCTTGGAGAAGCATTAATATTCAGCAGATCAAACGGCTCATTCCCATCATGCCCACGCCAGCCTCGGCACTCCCCCGCACTCGATGCACTCCTCAAGCAGAGAGATTTTTCATTTATTCATGTTAAATAAAAGTGACATTACATTAGTAAAGGTTGATTGGTCTACAATTAAGCATCCTGACCTGATTTGGTTTGTGCTCGAGTAGAGGGGGGGAACCGGGGCCCTATCTTGACTCAAGCTGTTTAACAGACACCACGGTTTGACTAATCAAATTGAAATGCATAATATAGGACTCGTCCCAGTGTGGGTCTTTTTACTGTGCCTGGAAGTCACGAATGATCACCTTGAGTGGATGTAACATCTGCATGGAGGATAATACCAATGAAGCTGCTATGCCTCTGCATTTCAAGATTTTCATCTATTGTCCTCTGGGTAAAATACAGACGCACTGCATTGCATAAGATGATACATGACTCCATATGAAGATGTATGGCTGTATCGATAAAATGACAGCATCATAACTGTACCTTGTCATTGACTAATGGGCTTTGCCATTATAATGTGGTTAGTGGGGTTCCTTTATCACCCCTACAGTACTCAGGAGGATATTGTGTGTGTAGCTCAAGGACCTCTGAATGTCCCCTGATTTCTGCTTTAAAAGAATCCTTGGCCTTAAATCAATCCATCTGCTCACTCAATTTGCCCCAGATTTGCTTGCTTGTCAATTTGCAGTGCCAAATTGAGTTCAACTGAACTGCCGCCTCGCCGTGGCGGGTGTGACTATGTGACCCAATCCCTTGCACAGAGGTCTCTGAATACATTTCCCCCCGATCGTGTCACGAAAAGCCAATTACAGCTTACCATGAACATGGATGAGCAAAGTTGCCATCAGAGCCGTGCTGGATCATGGGAGTGGGTGGATGTTAAGGGAACACTGAACCAGTGGCGTTTACAGCAGACAGCACAGCTTAACCTGTCTCTCACTATAGCACTGTGCTTGGTCTGTTTGCTGTCATTTTGATCCAATTACACTGCCCTTACATTATCTCAGGTCATCTGTGCTCCAGAGGCAGAAACTTTGAGCAAGGTCAGCGCAGAGATAAGTGTGGACAAAAAAAGCAAGGATTTCACCAGTGGTGCAGAAACAATGTGAGTTTTTTTTATATTTAATCTTTCTACAAGGGCAGGGTCAACCTGCAGAATAATCCAGCGCCATTCACCTGAAATCGCCAATGGCAGGACGGATGAATCAACAGGGTCAAAATAGCCCTGTTGCTGTGTGACAGGATGACTGACCCTGTACGAACATTTCAAAAATGATGTAAAAAATCCTGCGGTGTGCAATCAGTATACTTCTGATGACCATTGTTGCATGTTGCAGTCGGGTTGACAGGCAAACCTATTTTAAAAGCACTTGGAAAATGTTCGACAATAATGAAAAGTACAGGCTAAATAATGGGTTGTATGAGTAATTGAAAAAGGGAACATGAACTAAAGTTAAACTACTGCGTACAACAGCTCTGGTTTGGCCAGTATCAAAAGCCTAATGATTTGTTGATTTTAAAGTATTAACGTTCTTTTGAAAAATATCCCTGATGTGCTTATACGTACATATCAACAGCATCCCATTCGGGGGGCTGCATGGAATTCACAAGAGAATTTCAACTACGTGATGAGGGCTGGGCCTTTAATATGAGCACACGCTAAAGGGTTTTTCATTTCAAACTGACGACAGACAGATTAAACTTTAATGTGAGGTTTTGCATGTATTTTAATATTCAAATTTTGAGTAAGACAGGCAAGAATAAGATGTCTATATCATGAGTCCTAATTATTTAGAAATTACAATAGATATTACGCAGAATCCCTCTGATCAAATACGGTCTCTGATTCTCACTTGTCAAATTGAAACTGACAATATGGAGATGGTGTAGAAAAACTGATTCTCTATAGGCGTGATGCATTATACGGACCGATTTTCAATGATTTCATCACTTGCGCTAGAAGCAGCACTGCTGTATGTTGTCATCAGAGGGAACATAAAGGCAACATTAACATCAGTAACTGGACATATCAGTGCAGCAGAGTAATCATCTGTGGAATTGGCCGACACATGGAAGACGAAGCGGCCCTGACTCTAAGGTTGTGTGTGTCAGTGCTCGTACTCAGTCACTGTCAGTTTCTCACTCCTGCAAACAGTCAGCCACACTGTACGGCACACACACACCATACATAAATAAAGCATACATAGATATAATGTGTAATGTCCACACACACACACATATACGTTCATATATTTGTATATATACACAAGCATATATACAAATATACAAGTATAAATATAAATACACAGTGGAGCTAATCCTTGTAGTATTGTAGGTGTTGTCTTTCAAATTGAACAGTTTGCTCTCACAAACTCTTTGGGAAATGAGTGTGAGTTCTTACATGTGCGAACAGAAAGGAAGAGTAATACACTTCCTCTTCCACCATGGAAGGATTAAGTAGAGGAAGCAGGACACACAAGGCTTTTTATGAATCTGAAATAAATCTGGATGTATAGACGAAGAAGAAGATTGTCCCGGGACAAATTATCAGCTTATTTATCCTGTAAACAACCAAATTTATGTTGACATTTATCTTATTATTTATAAGCTCATATGCTGCGTTCTCACCAAACATGACACAAATTCTCACATTGCGGGATCATTTGTGTTAATAAACACAACCAGCAACAAAAGGGGGAAAACTGACTGCAGTGACTACAGTTGCTGTGTTGTATAGCAGAGGAGGCTAAAATTACCACAATTGCTGTATTACATTAGTGGAAATATGTTGTGGAAATGCTGGGGAAAACCAGCACCATTGTGTGTGGGTCCACAAGACCACCTGGAAGAGCACACAGCCCGGGGAATTTCTCCAGGACCTTTGTCTGGATGACTGTTACCAGCCCTACCTGACCAGTGGCTGGTTTGATCACCCTCTAGCTCTAGAGTCCAGTGACTTTCATTCTCAGTGCTGATTTCCTTTCGTGACATTGCATCATGCAGATTTCAAATATTTAAACTTAGCAATAGATGTGAAATTTGTGTCCGCTGCAACGGGAACGAAGTTTGCATCTACAGTGTTGAGCCAATCATTTTATGACATCCGTGTCACTCAGGGCGAAAGACGAGACATTTGCATCTGACTATTTATGTGTTCCCATTTCATGAACAAATTGTATTGTGTTTGGTGTGAACGCACCATTATAGCCATGTGAATAATGACCTGTGTTTGTCGGGAGCAAAGGTAGTGTGTCGGTCAGAGTCACCTGAATTTTTGTTTTTCTCTGTGTGCAATGAGACTTTAGGAGGGTGGGGTTAAGGGTTAGTAAATGTTGTTGTCTTAACTATTGTGCAGACTATGAACTATAGCTAGCAATCCAGGTTAAGACAACAAAGCTGGTCAAGATTAGTTATGAAACATCATTCACCTGACCCCATGGTAACTTTATTTTAGAGCCGGTTTTCTCGTTTATCCCTGCAGATCCCCCATGCAGACTATGATTTTCCATAGAATGTGTAGATAGTCATTTCTGTAAAAGTTGTCGTGATAATGGTCTGTGGATTAACTAGCGTCAAGTGCTTGCTGTTTCTAGTAGATTTTGGCCTCTTAAATTTCTGTGGTAAACATAACATACTAAATTCCATTCACCTTCCTGGTCTTGGAACAAATTAGTGGATAAGAAGTAAAAATATATTTGACATATTATAATGTCATAGTGTCACTGCATAGGCTCCTTTTTTTAGACGGGACATTACCTCCAGATTATCTGTTGACAATATATAAACTGAATATTAGAACACTCAACTCTCATTTCATGAAATTTTATGAGACCGTTGTGTGCTACACTCTACAGCAGAAAACATGCAACTGTAGCCCAGCATGCATTTGTGTATACAGGAGAAAAAAAAGGAATAGAGTGAGGGGGACACTTTATACACTTACCAAAACACTTGCTTATTGTGATATTAAATACAGATAGGTGCATATTCTGAGCCAACTTAGATGACAGTTGCCGCTTTTTATACTCTTACGTGATCATATCGCCAGTAACAATCGGAAAACACATGCGTTAACGATAAAACTGGTGGGTCACGGCTGCGAACCAGCCGAAGTCTCCCAAAAGTTTTAGAGTCAACACAAACCTTCCTTTCTCTTTCTTTTCCTTCACCATGCTTCAAACAGCCACCAAAAGCAAAGAGCCACTAGATCAAGTGGGCGAGCCTTCAAAAACGATTGGCCTGGATTCATCAACTGAAGGGATTTGTCTGAGCAAAGACGCTAAAGGAAGAGACAACCGGTGCAAACATTGTATCATTTCACAAGCCAAAGCATTCTTGATGTCGGCTGCATCACAGACCAAACTGTGGAGTAGTCTTACAAAGAAGTAAATAACAATGGACTGAGCTAATTGTACACCTGCCCATCCGTGCAAGGTTTTCTGACAGTAGTGTTAACTAAGGTCACATTTAGTCTCAGTGCTAACAAACATCAAAATAAGAGGCAGTTAAAGCATGAGCCCTTAGATTTTTACCATAGATCTATACCCTACCCTTACTGCCCTAACCCTTCATAGAATAATGGCATCTTACCAAATTAACATATTCCTTTTACACTGTGCAATTCAATCACCTTTTATGTCTCCATGTTTCTGAACAATCTTATTTCCAAATGAAACACCGTTAGTGAACAGATCTGAGGATTTATTGAGTGCTAAAAGTCATTTGGAGTTGTACTAGCATGATTGGATCAGTGGATTTAAACTCTGCAGCACTGCCTCCATTGGTTTTGGTTTCTTTTGAACAAGTTCAATGTCGTTTGAACTTTGGTGGCACTGATTAACTGCAGTGGGAGACCTGGAATTGCAGGCCATAGCTGCACTTGGTGCAGCCGGTCAAGAGAGACAAAAGAATCCAAAGCAACTGCAGAAAATAAGGTTTAAGGGAAAGGTTCTCAGGGAACGGTGCATCACAGTTGACATCAGTTGCCAACAGTTCATGATGCTTTGAAAGCTCAACTCAGCGCCGTCTGGACAGAAGCATCTTCATGGAATCTCAGCTGTTATGAACAAGAGAAGGTTAGCCATGAGAAAGACTGTAGATAATATTGTCATCCTCAGCAAAAGGGATTTGCCTTTTCATGCAGCATGTTGTATCTGGTGAGGTGTCTCAATGACAGTGATTTTGCTTTTAATAAAAACCAAAATAAGCAGGGAAAAAAGTGATAAACCATATTTCTGAGTCACAGTTGTGTTTGAAACAAGGTGAAGGGGAAAAAAAGAGAGAAGGAAAGACAGCATGAACTCTGAGACACTGGGGACAGCGAGGGAAAGGTGAAAGAGGGGCAGCAGCCGGTCACATCGAGCTCGACACATCCCACACGTATACTTTCATACACATATCCCAATGAGCGCACAACCTTTCTGCCACTCTCTCTGACACATACACACCACCCTGGAAACGGCTGATAGGTCTACAACTTCTCTAAGCTCTGTGTTCCTGTGTATGTCTGCATGTCTACTGATACCAATCTGAGTAGAAGCAGGCCAGGAGGACCAAGCAGCCATACCAAGATGGTATCAAGATACTCTACAAGCATATATTGATTCTCCATCAATACCTGATGTTAGAAAATATCCACCTTATCCTTTGTGGTTAAACATATTTAAAGGCAATGACGTTAAGTCTGAGCTTTAGTACATGACAACTCATTCATGTTAACACTGTCGCAGAGTGGTTCAGGATGCAGATCCTGTTATTACAGAGTTTAGCCTGTTGTTAGTCAGATGGGCAAGGCTGAGCAATGGCCGCTAAGCATGTGTCTTACTGTGTGTGAAGCTGTGATCGCTGCGAGTGACATGTTACCTGGCTATGACAAACAGCACACAACTGACACCCAAGTAAGCCAGCAGAATATACATCCAGATATCAGGCGAGAGGGGGTTGAGGAAGGAGAAGACCCCAGGGTTGGTCCCGTTGGGCTTGCGGTACAGTATACTTATACCCAGCGTCATGAAGGGCTTGGAGAAGTCAATAACCTTCTCGCGTGCGTATGTGATGGCGAGGGGAGCCACTGCCAGATCAGCTCTCTGTCAACATTAAACATAAAAGAGAAGAGGAATAGGCCATAAGTCACGAACAGGAAGCATTTAGAGGCCATCAAATTAAGGAAACAGGGTCTTTACACAAAACAGAGTCTGTCCTAAGCCACTTAGTAAGAAATTTAAAGCCCTCTTTCTCTTTCTACTCATCAAGTATGCTCCTGCTACTTAACTGCTACTAAACCTTTTTTCTCTCTGGATCCTAGATGAAAGCAATCATTTATTTTCTTTACCTGCTTTCCGCTTTTGTTAGGGTGGCTGGCAGCTGTAGCCTGTCACAGCACAATACTTTGTACAATGTGCTGGGAGGTATGGAGACATAAAGGCCAACGCTTTGGTGGACCAGCACAAAAAGAACAAAAACGTAGCCCTCATACCTTTAATTTACTATTCTGCCTGATCTACAACTTTGGGGCTGTAAGACGAAATGAGCAACAATAGAACAATTAATTTTGAATTACGGCTACAGTCTAGCCAATTTAATTTTAACTCGAGATAACTTTTGAATATTAAGCTCTTTCTTGTGTTTCCATTGTATTAAACAAACCAGAACATTGTTGGATTAAGTGCATGAAAAATGCAAAAGGCAGACTGACTGCATTATTTGTATGCACTGTTTGGTAGTGTAATAAATGGTTATGTTTCAGACAACAGTTTAAAGTTGTGCTAATATATTTTTTGATTTTCCAACGCATTTACATAAACATGAGATACACTTATATCAAGGCTCAGCTGGGGTGCCTTGAACAACTTTTACACAAAATCTCCCTTTTCAAAAAAACAAATGGTAACTTTTGCCAAAAAGTGTTTTCTAAATATATATTGTCTAGTTGATACAGTAGTAAAATGGTGGAGACCACTGCTGATACCTGATCCTGGAGTAAAACTTTAATTTAGCTATAGATCTATTCAGGTGAAAAACAATGGAAGTTTGACAACTGCTACATTTTGTCAGGAGTTAGATTAAATGTTTGGTGAAGATGCTGCAGTGGAAAGCTGTTTGCATGTTGCAGGCAGTTGTTTGTGCTGTACCCTCTATGGTTATCAATGTAGCACAATTCTTTGTTTGAGAAGAAAACAAGCTGTATGTGAAAACTCTGCTTCAGAGATCCAGAGAGGGGACGTGTATGTACACTCTGTCCAGAAAAGTCCTGTCTTCATATCTGAGGTGGAAAGTGCATTGTGCTTTTGACAGTTACTACATTTCAGGCTGCACTGTGATTATAAATGCTAAACATTCACAGCAAGGCCAAGACGTTAATTTGTCAAAGATGTATCCTTTTTGTCTAATGAGGGTTGCCATATATCAGTCAAGGATGAGTTGACTGAGCTCATTTCTCACAGCTGTGATACATGAGAAGTCCTGCTGATATCAGGCCTCGCTGAATCTGTTCAGATGACTCTAACACAACGCTACACAGTGTAGATACATCACAATGTGTTGCTTTGCTCTGAGCATCACACAGAACAAATCACTTTGTTAAATTCCTTTGACAGGATGTTTCCAACTTGTTCAGAACAGTTCAGCATTTCCCCCTCAACTGAACTTCTTTTCTGAGTCCACACTCCCTGGTCTTCTGAGGCCTTGTCGACTGCAATAACCATCCATCTAAGTCAAGCCTGTCCAAACAATTGGGGACAAACCTGTGCTGAACATCATCTCGCAGGGGATTTGGCCCCTGACCCATAAAAAGACTGTCACAGCAGCCAATCACAGCACTGATCAAGAGCAGAAGCAGAAGACAAGTCTTGACCCCTAGTGGGTGCTGCTTCTAATGGGGTCAGATATTGACTATTGGGTGTGCAGCAGCTGCTATTTTTCTGCCCATGCAGTTTATCCTAACTGGGACTTTGTCGGGTGTAATGATCTACACTGTGAGCAGATAGATGTTAGCTTGGGTGTGTGTGTGTGTGTTTTAATAAGCTCTGTAGGGGAAACAACTCACAACAGAAAGTATGCTCGACTCGCATCACTGTACTCTCAAATGGTGCTAGATGTTTTTTTCTCCTTCTCTTTTCCTCGCCGTGTGTCTCAGTTTAATAATCCTCCACATTCTTCATTTTTAACCATATATGGTATGTGATGTTAAAATGGCAGTTTACACAGTTTAAACAAGTCATGAATTTAGTACCAAAAGAAAAAAAAATACATTTCATACTTGTAACAAGTAATTGCTTCTGCACTACAACAAACTGTCCTAATGTACAAAATGTGATGACGAAGACAGAACAGGAACATTTGTTGTTTGTTTTTGATCTTCTGTTGCAGAAAAGTTTGGCAAGAAGTTGAAACACTCTCAAGATAATATGTTTGGTTCTCTCAGATCTTTAGATAGCTGTCTCTCTGCCATTTGCAATTTTCCCTAAATTATATTACAGCTGTGAGCACATCTTGCATTTCCTTTGTGTGGCAATACGTTGACAGCACAAAGAAAGATCAAGTGGTTTTCAATCTGTATATGGATCTTCTGGAGTATTCTTAGTTTTCTTACTGTTCAATGTAAATGTACTGCATTAAAATTGCCTTAGTTTAGTATTTAATATGGAATTTGGGAAACTGGTTATTAATTCTATTAACTGGGATGGAAGTTTAAGAGTATACATTTAATGATACAACATACATGCACCATCTTTAATAATCATGTTAGAGACTCACGTGGTCCATTAGCTCCTTCACCATCCCGTTCCACTGGCCTGTGTTCTCATCCTGGGCGCCATATTTCCCATCTTCCACTAGACGAATCTCGTAAGTGAAGCCAAGGATGTTGGCCAGCTCCCTCAGCAGGTCTATACAGAAGCCCTCGAAGCGGTCATTCCCGTACAGCGGCTTGTCAGACTTCTTGAACATCACATATGGCTCCTCCTGTCAGGTGAAATAGTGGAGAAGGGATGAGTCTCCACAGCACTCGGCATCTTATACCTTCCGATAAGGCCCTATCTGAGGGGGTGTCTGATGTGTGAGATAGGCTTTTGAGCCGCGGAGCCCAACACACACTGGCCTGTTTAGTAAAGCATGTGTAAAGCTGCTGTGTTTGTGTGCTTGCCAGAAGTCTCGGTCCTGTGATGCAAGGTAGGGTGGGTGCAAAGTGAAGCATGACCATAATAAGAGATAATCCCCCATATCAATGACTCTGTGCTCCTCTTAGGCTCAGCAGGCTGGCCCCATGCCCAGGCCCAGCTTTCAGGACATCACATGCTTTGTCAATAAGATAACAGACACTGATAGACGGACCCAAAAAGAGAGAGCAAGAGCCAGCACATCCGCTCTGTTAACACAAACAGCTGGGGAGATTACTAATGTCTTCTTTCATACTGTTTCCTTCTCCCTCCCGCCCACTGAGCATCTCCTGCGCCATTTCCTTCCTCCTGCCCTCCACACTTCACTGCATGTTTCCACTTCCTCCTGCTTCCTCCCCTCTGTACCTTTTCCTTCATGCACCATCTGTCCTTGTTAGCTTTAGACGCTCACTGCACGTCTCTCATTTCAACAACTCCTTTGTCTCTTTCAGACAAATAAATCCAAAAATGTATCATCAAGCAGGTGTTGTTTATCATATAAATGTGCCATGACTGAAACAAAAAAATCCATTAAAAGATTGTTACCAGCTCTTATATTTCACTGGATGGTGTTTTAATAGTATGCAAGAATAACATCATAGCATTGGAAAGAACAACAAAAAAACAAAAACACACACAATGGGTTTGGTTTCTCTTGTAGTGTCAGGCCAAACAAACAGCATGCTTTTTAGTAAACAGATGTTGAGGTAATGATAATGTTAAGATAATCGAGCAAAAACAGAACGGTTGTAATATATTTCATTTTAATTTACAACCACAGTGTTTTTGATCATTTCTGTTGCGATTGTGTCTCCTGAGAATGGATGAAGAGAGGAGTTTAGCCTGTAGCAGACTGGAATATTTCATGGGGTGAAAGCTTGCAGCATAACGTTCAGACAGGTGATCTCAACAACATACTCACTGACTGCGTGTACTTTGTTGCCTAGCAATGCAGCGGTTTGTGTGTGTGCAATACATGGTTTGCATAAACCTTGCAGGGTCTTCATTTGTTTTAACATATATCACCATGGACTTATATTGTACATGCATTTCAATTTGCTTCATTATGTTATCACTATCACTATTAATTCTATTCAGTAGTATTTAGTATCGATAATATAGTTGCATACACAGGCTGCAGTGAATCTATTGTTGGTTTAAGAAAAGTAAGCAAAACTAATTCCACGTAGCTATATTTTGTGCTGCTAGATATAAATAATCATTTTCTGAATTAAATTAATAGTCTCTTAATCTTATCAGATGATTTTGTTACTCATCCAGTTTCTAAAAATACTCCCTGTTTTGCAGTGGAGAGTTCAGGTAGCTGTATTAACATAAGGCTAGCATGGATGACATTGACAGAGCAGTTCTGTTCAATGTCTGGAAATGCAAACTGGATTTCCTAAGTAATTTCTGTCAGTTATATCACTGCAAAGATTTTCCACTAACTTCCCCAAACTATGTTCGTTAGTATAATTGGGAGTTGCCTTCGTCATTATTTCTAAATTTTCCTCCTCTCTAAAATACAAATGCAATCAGCCAGAAGAAGCAGCTATGCTCCCATTTTAAACTCACTGCAACCATCAATGTAATCATTGCTGACACAGCTCAGCACGTTATATCTACTGTAGCTCATATATCTCAGCAGCTGCAGGAGAGCAAGGAAACTGATGTAATGTTGATGAAAGAGCAGAAAGCAGTGCCCACATACAGATCAATACCAGAGCACCTACAATGTCAACATTTACAGTCGACACAAAAACAAACTAGTGCCGTGGTATCTAAAAGTTTGAGGTGAAAACAAGTAAACTCTGTGCAGCAAACAAGAAATTACCAACAAGACTGTCTCAAATGCAATCGTGCAATATAATTGGGGCATGTTGTAGCAGTTGTAGGAGCAGCATTTGAGTTAGAGAACAACTTTCTGATGATTGAGCAAAGGGTCAAAACATGTTTTTGGTGTATGTTGAGGTATGTGTGAAAGCCAGTGAATCAGGAAACATTGCAGAGAGAGAGAGAAGAAAGGATTTAACTTCATGTCCTGCATGTTGACAGCATATTGTCAATCAAGACACTGTAGAAGTGACTGGCTTCTTATATAACAAGACAATGACCTAAAGCAGACCTTAACCTCCATCATGAACTATTTTTAGAGAGCCTGGAACAGTCCCCTGACTTTAACAGCATTGAAAATCTGTGCGCAGATCCTGAACATGCTGTGCATGCAAGTCAGCTTAAGATATCTCAAAACTTAAAGTGATTGGTGAGGAAGAGTGGGGTGAAATCAAGTCAGGGATAGAAAGACAAAAAGATATGATATCTGACAAAGGGGAGCACAAAGTATTGCTTTTACAAATGCTTCAATTACCATTTATTATGTTTTCAAGTTCCTGAAATAAGTCACAGTAACCATTTGAACAGGGCTCATATTTAATCTTACTTCAAAATCAACAAAATCTGTAGTTACCCAATACTGTATTTTAAATTTAATTTGTAAGTAGGTATGTGTTACAACAGGTTTGTAGGTTAAGGCAAATAAAAGTGCCAAGTACATGTACAGTACCTCCCTAATGATGGCGTTTAAACCTGATTACCACTGAAATACATGTAATCCCAAACCAGCAACCGTTGCCAAGAACAACACACAGATGTGTCATCCAGATTACGTGGATGTGTATTGTACAACTTTTTATTTTTCACACATTCATTGCCACATTTATCAATCCAAGGTGACAGCAGTGTTTTTCTGTCTTCCCGTTGCCATGGTTACAGAAAGTGTGCTTCAATAAAGATGAGTCTGCCACATGTTTACTTTTCCATGGTCATTTATTGCTGTGTGCAGAAGGCTCTGACTGATGCCACCAAGATTGTAGTCTAACAGGAGGAAGTAGATGTCATTTCAAAGGTGTTTTATTGTTCCACTTTCAAATAGGATATGATTTTGAATATTTATGTTCATGATTGCTATTTCCTCAGTTATCTTCAGTTATCACATCTACATTTGTCTCACAGATCATAGTTCTAATCC